GCTTACAGCAGTACAAAAATCAATGACTGACATTGAATATACCAACATTTCCTACCAGAGGTTGTGTCTTGAACCGAGGAAGGCGACGGAGTGAGGGACGGAGAGAGGTAACGGGCGTATTCCGATACGAACGAAATATGAAAGTAGGCGTGTCGAATGGAATTTTCTGTAATTCTCCGCAACGAAGAGCCGCCAGGTTCAGCGGCAGGGGGCAGGGAAGCTGAACATCATACCTACGACTGGGTGGTTTGAAAGGTGGCATCTAGGCATCGGCAAAACCTCTGCTCACCTGCCGAACCGCCCTGCTGCTAGTGTGTCCTTACGGTCGGATCTTTTCGATTCTGTGATTGTTGTGCTGCAACACGCCGCCACATTCAAACGGGGCATCACGGCCGAGCAGCCAGCTCTATCGGGAGATGAAGGGAGGAATGGAACCCACGCCAGCGACGCTCGGGATGCGAAGGAGCTGCAGTGAGTGTGGGCGAAAGAAACGAAAGTGCGATGGCCTCATGCCGTGCAGGTGTGTGGCTTTTACCCGACATGGGCTTGGGAAGCCGAAAGTTGGCTATCTGGCAGCGTGTTCAGTCTACAACACTCTGTAGGAAATGTAGGGAAGTCTGCATCCAATCAACCCGCTGTACACTAGTTTGTTCATGACCCACATTCCCCCGTAAGACCTACCTCTGTGTTAGAAAAGGATGTAGCACAGCAGTCAACGCTTTCTTGTGCACTGCTGCGCCTCCGCTACTTGGGAAACATGTATGGCGTCGCTCGGAGGTAGACGGTGCGTTGATTCAGGCAGCCGTTGCGTGTACGAGAAGCGGCGGTGTCATCTCCCTCGAGCACACCACGAGCAGCGCCAGCGTCGGCGGCTTGGTCATGATGGCGTGCCCCCGGGAGGAGCCACCAAGCAGTCGGCGCCCGCGGTAGCAGCCTCAGCATGTGAAATGTTGGCTCTCAAGAGGTATGACGAGGTGGACCTGTAAAGAGGTCTTGTTTATCACACCGTGGATGATGAAAGATACCATACCCCCAGTACCAATTTTCGGACCGCCTTCGAGCGATTAGTGAGTTTGTGAGGGAACTTGAAGCGGGGATGCACACCCTATTCCCTAACCCTAGCCCTTAACCAACTTCCCCGATTGTATGCATGCAGTAGTATGTTTTTACCAACATGATCATAGTAGAAAATGCGGAAAAACTCGTGCGAAGGCTGCTGCAGCTTTCAACGGTCGATTGCTTCCACGACGAAGAGGATGCCAGCATCGAATGATACATATGTTTTCTAGAAGATCCCGACGCAACTTTTTCAACGCCGACGTTTGTTGCGCCGCTATTCTTCCTGCTGTGGAATAATCGAGCTTTAAAGATCGGTCCACAAAGTATCTTGTGTCACCTACAGCAGTAGAGCCGTAGAGATGGCACCCTCCCAGACAAACATTTTTCAACCCTATCGCTCTACAACCAAAATGGCGCCAACATCAAAATGACGGTTTCAGCAACATCTCTTCAAGGGCTTCCCGTAAAAATGTTTGGCTCTTTCCACACCTCCGTGGCGATGGAGCAATGGAGCATCGAAGTTCGGTCTCCTACTGTAGGGGGGGTGTAATCTCTCCGCCTCTTGCGGGGTGTTCGAAAGATCTCCCTGCGGACGACCTGACTTCTTCGATGTTTTCCGCACGGGTTGCAACCTATAACTGCAACACTGGAACCAGCATCTAACTTTGTCTCGCGGAGCGCAGACACGAGCATGCGAATGTCAGGAGAAGTGACGAATAGCCGAGGCATGCATATGGGGGTAGGTATTGGCAGCACCACCGACTGAAGGAAGCTTTCAATCGGCGTACCATGGGTGACGTAAGATATCACACACCCTGGGCCGACTTTGGAGCTCAGTTTCTGCACAGCGGAAAGAGTGGCAGTACCACAAAAAGCATCGTTGAGTCCGTCTCTTGGAGAGGTTTCAGGAAACGTATCGTTTGCCTCCGGCATCCTTGGTCGTGGATTAGGTAATCGGTCCAGGGGGTGTGGTATCTTGCGACACCTGATATACTAGAGCTGTCGTGGTCCCAGTATACAGCCGCATCGACCAATGCAAAGGGCTTGGAAGAACAGCCTTTCTCCGCTGGTTGGGAACATCCAGCGCTACGCATAGCCCTGTGTGGCGCCGGAGGATTACCTGTTTGAGTACCTCAGGCAGATGTGAAAGTTGTCTCAACAAGTCGTACCTGCACTATTGAAAATGTACCTAATTCCAAGCTACGACCGTAGGTTGCGTGAGATAGCACACCCCCTCGACCAAGTTACAAACCGCTGTTCTTGCAGAAACACAAAATATACCAACGTGAAATGATACGTTTTCGGCAATGCTCTCGGCGAGACGGTTTAAACGCCGCCATCTCCGGCACCGTCAGTGTGTTTCCTGCTGAGAAAAAGGCGTTTCAAAGAGCAGCTATTTCGCGTCCAAATTTCCAAAGTCCACATCCGAACGTCGATGTGCGGCCTAGGAACAAAAATGGAAATTAGGAAATCGGGACGCAAAAAAAAAAAACGGCCGTAACCAACCGATGACAGTCGGTCGAGGGTATGTGATATCTTGCGCAAACTACGGTACGAGGAACGCTGTACGAGTGTGAAGGGGACGCAACGTGAGGGTTGGAGGGTAATGGGAGAGCGACAAACCCCGAAACGTCTCTTACACTTACGCTGGACCAACAGGATTGATGAGGACGCGCCCATGGTATTGTTTGTAGCACAGGCCAGAGCAGCGGTGGGCTCGTGGCTTCGATGCCGTGACCTGTTATCCTATCGGTGGATAGCGTTCGCAGTACCTATAGTCGCCGCATGCACTCTCTCTCCACTTGTTGTTGTTGACGTTGGCCTAATGTCACAATAGCAACACATCAATTGCAGGTCTATCCTGTAACGTAAAAGAGACGACCTTCGCTGGTGACAAACCGACCTAAACAAGCGGCTATAGTATGAAATTGCAGACGCGAGGTGGTCATCCGAAAGCTGTCTAGGGCTGTGGTTGGCATTTCGCATCCCTGGGATATGCATATGCGTTTCTTCCACACTTCGAAGACGGTGTCAATATCTCTGAGACATGTTCTCGAGTCAGCTGTTTGGGGATGGGTAAACGGGATGTCTCTGCCTGAAGGATTGCTGGCGAAGTAGTTTGTGTGCGTGGTTTTCAATCATTCAACAGCTACCGTTGGCGATGCTTCTCTGTATCTCTACATTGGGAGATTTTTCGGGGTGGGGCAGGGCGTTGCCATCCCCAACAGATGCCGACGGTCCTTGTCGCAGTCTTTAGTGCCCGTGGCTGGATTTCAAATGTTTTGACTCGTGTTGTCTTGTTCTTAACATAGATCGTTCTGAGCCCGGTCCAGTACCCGTCTTCCCTGCTCTCCATGTTGCCGCAGAGATTCGTGGTACAGCGAGCCATTTTCCGTGTTGAGAAGCTCCAACCCAAGCAATTGTGATACCAAATATTTATTCAAAGACATTCGAATTTTACGTCGTTTCCCTCGTTTGCGCCGCTTCTTGCTCGTAGACATCTGAAGTATCGTAGGAGAGATGGGACGAGTGTCATTTGTTTATGCGTGGGCCACGTTCCAAACATATGTCCGTTGTTCATCAAGTTAGGGCAAGGTCCGAGCCCAGCGTTATATGGACCATCAGATTCCAGACCTTCGTGTTGGCGGGGCTCTTCGTACCTATATTTTATAACAAACAACACACGATGTCAGAGAATACCACAAAACAGGCGAATGGCGCCATTGTTATATCTTGAATGATGAGACAAGCACTAACATAAAGTTCAGCCAAGACACTCGTGAGTCTGGGATAAGGACGGCGTGATGTTTCGCGTGGGTTTTGAGGTCCCGTTACTGTTTCGCCTCTTCAATTGAGCATAGCTAGTACCCGCACTTGAGAGCCTCTATTTTGGCCAAGGCCGGGGTTCTTAGTCCTGAAGGCTGTGGGACGAATGGCTGCCACACAAGTTTAACTGGAATGGTTCGTACCCGAGCTCACAAATGGTGCTCGACTTCTCATAGATAATGCACTCCGACACCCGACTTCTGAACTGCCAAGTCCTACTCTGCGGGCACTGTTCTCCTTACCGCGACAGGTGCAAGTTTAAGGCGTCTCCAGCGACGGGCCTCGTGGGGATGCCGGAGAACACCTTTCTCGGCGACTTTTTCGCCTGCGTTGGCTTTGTTCCACTCACCACCCAGAGGTAAGACCGTGTGGAATGGTATTTCCAATGTGTCGTTAAGCCAACGCGGGAGTTTGGTTGTGAGCGTTGTGTTAGCTTGTGTCCAGACTCGCTCCACCTAGGTTTCTTGTCCCGTAAACATATGTATGTTTTTTGTTTACATCACTGCCTGTCAAGAACCGGCGTGCGCCAATGATTGACAATGACGTAGGACTGTTTTTGGCCGCTTACGCTCATCACCACGTTTGGTGATCCCCGTATGCATCCGACGGCCATGGTTGTCAGCCACATTCGTGAGACGATGGTGAAGATGATGGTGACCTCCACTCCCTCACAGAAGTCAGCGTTTGGGCGCGATTGTGATGAGGACGATGTGCTGGCAAAAGAGGGCGATATCAGGATTCTCTCGGCAGAGAATCAGCTCGATGCGGGCCCGTCGACCTGCACGTTCTGGTGTGCTGTTGCTCTGGGGGCGCTTGTGAAGGGGGGGGGCGTAGCTTCGGTGAGCGGTACGTAAGGCAAGAGTGAGGTTCCCCTTGACTTGAGAAGTAGACGAGAAATATCGTCCAAGAGCCGGTGCAGACTGATGCTAGCGATCATTTTGACATGTGGTACGCAAGAGCAAGCCCGTGGGGCGGGGGGGCGTTGTCTTCGCATGCTTCATTGCCTGACACCGCCGCGTGTTTTCGCTTGAAACAGGCGCTTGAATGGACGCTGTAATTCCATTTCCGCCAATGACGCGATTATCCCGCAATGCGTTATGCGTCGTCAAAGGTGGCGAGATATTCCGAGCTGGCCAGAGATGCTTTGGAAAGCTATTCGGGCCCTGTGACTACCGGAGTAGCAAAGTGAGTCTAGGATTTGAAGGAGGAGGCACATACTATGCCGCCCGTTTGGGTGGCCATTTCTCTTTGACACGGATGGTAACATGCCATCCGGATATGCCACCATTATTTCCCCGATTTCTTTCAACGTATTTTCGGCGCTCGTGACCTCTCGTTCATCTGCCCGCCTTCCATGTACCTCCAGAGCCTGGGTAATTCTGGCCTTCCTCTACCTCTTTCATGGAGACACGGTGAGATAACCTGACGGTTTCGCGTTTCATACCCGACTCGCGCATATGGTACCAAGTCGGATTGACAGATTTGAGCGTATACCGTAAGCTACGGAGTATTCCCCGCGGGTTAGAGTTTCCCCCCCCCTCCCATTACCTCGTTTGTCGGCCTGGAAGCATGAGTTCGTTGATTTTGCCTCGGGGTAGATCTTTTTCGACCGAAAAAAAAGATCCCCCCGGGTATGTCAAATTCCCTCCGGGGTACCATTTTTCCCACGAATTCCCCCCGGGAGGGATGTATTTCCCTCATTTTCTAAGTCGACTTTATTGCATCGCGGACCACACAAGGCATGATTGGGACGGAAAAATCATTTGTATGTGCGCTTTGAGCTGGCGGGTACTCTCTGGAAGACGGGCCCTTCCTCTTCTTGGAATCACTCGCGGGACGAGACAAACTCCTCCAGCTGCTGTCCTCCTTGCTGTCTTTTTTCTCTTCGTCTTTGTTGCTCTCACGTTCCTCTTTCCTCCCTCTGCTTGCTGAACGCTTACTCGTAAACCTCATCCATCTCAGTTTCACCACTCTGTGTGTGTGGTGTGTGGACCATCATTTTTTGCACAACCCTCCCCGGGGGGGGGCTTCCCCCCGGGGAGGCTTCCCCCCGGGGTAGCGTTGAAAAATAGAGCTTACCCCCCGCGGTACGTCAATTTTCCCCTGGGGGGGGCTGGTTTCAGAAAAAGTAACGATCCCCTCCCCGGGGGAAAAACTCTGTAGCTTACGGTATGTCTGTATTTGACGTTTTTTTGCCTGCGTGCCTTCGACGAAAGGCAAGAAGGCTGTTTCAGGCAAGCTATATATGTTGTGATCCCATGACGCGAGATTTTCTCTTCGACAAAAGGCGACAATCCGTTCTCAGGCAATCGATTTACGAAAATCATTATTATTGGACGCATGCGAAGTCAATCCCATCCATTGCTTGTCCTGCGAATCAGGATGTGTTTCAAGATTACATGGCACGTTCAGAAGCATTTTTCAGTGCTTCCGGGGGGTTTGGCTCCACCGAGGATCTACCAGTGGTGAGTACATGATTCTGGCTCATTTCCCGCGATATTGCCGTGGGTGAAGAACGATGCCACTCCCCATGCACCGATTTTCAAACACGGATTTCTCCACGATGAAGACGATGCATGAAGCAAACGATACATTTTCGACACTGCCATTCTTTCGCCTGTAGAGAAACCGAGCTCTTGGTGTCGGCCCGGTGGGTTTGGTATCTTGTGTCACGTATGGTGTCCAGCATAGAGCAGCTGCTGTTCTTGCCGTTATATGATGCATATTGACGATCAATTTTCGGGCAGTCTTAACGGCGCGCTCTTTGCGAGAGCAGTTGTACACCAAAGTCGTCTCCACCGAACCTACAGGTGAATTGCCAACTGGACATTTCCAATGGGTTAGTTTTGCAAACACCACGATGAGGTAGGGCTAGACACCGTTCGTCGTGACTTTGAGTGCACACGACGATGAAATCAGCAATTGTTGTTGGAGCGGACAAGCTTGAGATGACAACGGTCCGAAGACTCAGGGTTGTACAGCGTTTGTCTGGCAGTGAAGACTCTTGGGGTATATATACTAACAGAGACACCGACACATCCCGCTGCACAATGGTTCCGAGCCTTTGACACCCTTGCTACCCAACACGGACCCCGTCAATCCGTTGCGTACGGAATCCGAGCCACGACAGTTAATGCCTCTCGATGGATGCCTCTCCATGGAGCCCAAAGACAACCATATATTGAACCGACCCTTGTTGGTGGCCAGGGATATGCCGAGGTCGTCAGTCACAGGATGACCGTCCGGATGTTTTCTGGGAATGCAAGCACGGCGGAAGTGGAGTCGTTTTGCCGCCAACCACAAGATCCCCCGCAGGTTCGTGTGCGGGCGTTGTGTGTCTGTGGGTGTTTTTTTTTTGTTATTGGCACCGACCGCGCTAACCGGCCGACCAATGAAATGACGGCAGTCTCAGTGCGGTTGACAACATAAAACACCTCTAGGTGCCATTTTCTGGGACTCCATGGGGGGGCGGCATGGGGGAGACTAACCTATTCTCCGGATCAAAGACAGAAATGGTAGAAACAGAAGAACACTGTGCACGTCTACCAAGGCTGCCACCGTGCACTTGAGTTCGTTTTGTGCTTTCACCGTCATCACGTGTGTGTGCATGTGTTTTTTTCTCAATGTTACACGACGAGTCCATGTGTGTTTTGTTTTTGCCATGACATGTGGTAACCGATTGACCGGTGAAACAATATCAGTCTTTCTGCGGTGTAAGAACGCAAACACGCGTTCTAGTGATCGAGGTCCCCCGGAGTGGGATCGTGGGATGGTGGAGGAGGTCAATGGCGACCGGGTTCAGTTTACCATCAAGAAGCACTAAGATAAGCCTCGACACGTATGGTGTGGAACAACAACGGATTTGGACACATGCCTTTTTTTCCAGGTTCGCCTGCTGTATGCGACACAAGTCATCAATCAACAGGGATAATGCTTCCCTGTAGCAGAGATTGTTACCGGGTGCTGTGTTTTATGCGTGGGGGGATGTTCTCGGGTATCCCGGGTGATAAAGTGCAAGTCGCGGCAAGTATGAACAGTCATAGCGAGGGGTGCGATGACACCGGAGTGCACTTGCAGGGGCCGAATGGGTGTTATATCTAGGGATCGTGTTACCACAACCTGCAACGGATTACGTACCGCGTCTGCTGCTACATGCGAATGGGGCGCGTTATATGAAGTGGGTATAATACCGCGTGCCGGGAGTAACCGTACCGTGACGCACTTGCAGAGTGTGGTACTGAGCGGGGGTGATACACCGACACTAGCAACTACAGCAGCATTCCTGCCGGGCTACTTGCAAAGTCGTGTGGAAACGGGGTGGGGGGGTGGAATGTGATTTCGCTCCTGATGACGTTGATCACGTTGATCACATTACCCCAGAGATAACCCCAACAGCACCCTCATCGATAACAGTTAATGGGTTGCCATGCTGCCATTGCTTCTCATTCCATCACTACCGCCTGCCAAGACAGAGAGAATGCCAGGAAGGTGTGGGGGAGAAACTCACGTTGATGGTTCGGTTAGCTTCGCACGCATGGTACGTTACAGGCATGGGTAGTACAACGGTCAAGACGATCGAGCGTAGGCATCGGAACAAGAAGAATGCACGGCACTAAAAGCATGCTGCCCTTCCATTTCCTCGTTCTCATCGCTGGCTGCCCAGTTGAGAACAGCAGCATCCGAGACCGAGCTGTACGCGTTCATGATGCAGGCGTACCGGCAGTTCGAGCAAGCTGTCTACAGAACGGCGTACCTCGAGAGCTCTGACGCCGGCGGGCTACCGAGCGAAAATGAGGCCGGCATCCGCACGGCGTGTAGCTGTCGAGTACGCGAAGCGTCGATGGCAGTGGTAGACACGATGGCTTCGAGGATCAACAACCATTCGTGCGACTTCGAACGCTTGGAAGATGCGGCCGATCGGTGAGAAGAATCGGATTCTTTGTCAACTGCTGTTCGGGTTCGGAATGACGATTGGACCGAAATACCACGGTTGGCGCCTCACAGTGAACACAACACGGGCCCTCAGTCAAGAAATGTTTTCTTGACATAGGCTCACATTTTCAAGAAAAATATAAATGAATCGATGCCACTACACACCTCCGCCTTGGATCCCTACACTCAACTCTATGAATATCGCCGTGTAACGTGCTCCACTCTTTCTTTTTTTACGAAATTAGTATTGAGCGTCGACCTGTATTATCAGTATTTTGATCACGTTTCCTGGAAAAAAGGCGCAGCACGTGTAATGCCTACGCGATTCGTCATTATTTGCAGTTCTGGCCATCGTCACAACGCACATGTACGTGTTGATTTACCGTTGTATACCCCAACCATGTCCACATGCCACAACTCCTCCAGCACGCCGGTTGCTCCTGTTGAATCATTCGCACCAACTCGCACATTTTTTTTGTTTGCACGTGTTGTCGACCTCGACGGTGAGCAGACCCTTGATTCGCCAAGGGATTGGCGGCCTCATCATCAACGGGTGAGCTGGGAGAACGTCTGCTACTTGTGTTCCCTGCCTGTAGCCTGCTATTGGCCCGACTATTCGATCGTCGAAATGGCCCTGATATCAGTCTATCGCCACGAAAACGTTGCTCTGGATTTTTTCGCAGGCATGAACCGCAGTGTGTGTCACGTCAAATCAGCTTTCTGTAATTGTGACTGAAGGTTCTTGAGGTTGAGAATGTTGAGCGCCCTGGGTGAGATAGCGGAAGTACACCTTTTTCTAAACGCCGGATGACTCCCAACCTACTCTGTCCAACGCACCAGGACCCTTGTTTTCGAGAAGGCGGCGAAAGGAGACTTCAGTGGAGCCGTCGAGAGAATCGACCGCTGCGTCGAAGTTTTCGAGACATTCCCAGGGGTCTGTCGATTCTTCATGGGGTGAGTCGCACAGAGGTGTTGTGGCCCCGAACAGTTGTTGGAAATCTTTTACAAACAGCACGTGCCAAATCTGAAGGCTGCGCAAGGCTTCTCACCGTCCCCTGTGTCCCCGGGGCTCCGCGATGGTGATTTTCCCGAACCATGTGTTTTTTTCTCACAAGTGAAACTGCTAGAAGAAAAAAAATCCCGAGCGGTGGCCCCGCCGACTGCCGTATCATCTCAAATGTCCCTCTGGCGCTTAGCCCCAGGAGACGCAAACCTCTACACCTTTTTGAAGAAATCATGCCAGCTTGAACAACCAAATGTGTGGCTTATCGATTAAGGCCTTGTAGCACACGATCGAGGTGCTAGAAGTTTTACAATTTGAGCTCAATCTTCCTGCCGAGATTATTGGTGAATCAGGGCAGCAAAGTGTGCTTCTCTTGAAGACAGCTACAGCACGCCGTAGGCAACCACACTGCTCGAAACCGCCAGAGCCTACCGATATGGTGTGTGAGTGGCGTCGCATTGCTTGACAACAGCAGTAGACAACCAGAATTGATTCTAGAGGTGTTCTCGTGAACTAGACTATATGTAGTCCGAAATTGTGACCAAAATGCCGGATTTTGTGGGTCCTTTGACGAGCTGCCGCCGTTGTCCACGTGTGTATGTATGCCTTATCAACAGTCGGATTAGACGCGAATTTAGTGGTTCACCGGGTGTTCTCTACTGGGAAAACATAAAGAGGTTGTGGATTTGGCACAGTTGGACTTCGATCTACGTCGCAAAACGTGACGAAAAATCCGCTTTTTCGGTCTGTTTTTTCGTCTCCCCGCTGAAAAGCTCCTTTGGTGCAAATCCCCTCGTCTGAACCCAAGCTGTTTCATGTTAATTCTGCGAAGCGCCATCCCCTCTCAACAACGCGTTTATTGTGAGGAACCTTGCGTTTCCTTAAGGAGCTCTCGTTTAAGGTAACCGTTGCAGCATAATACCTCTACGAGGAAACCAACAGAAATTATGCGTGCGGGCCACGTTCTTCCAGTTTTCATTTTTTTTTTGAAACACTTCAATCTTAATAGCAAGTGTAAACCCTCACGTTCGTAAGCACCAATGATTTCGTAGTGGCGGTTTGGAGCTGTCGCAGAGTCCCATCCCGCGAAAGAACTGCTTGACCATAGTCTCGATACCGCGAGTTTTGCATTGCAGGCAGGTACGCTGCTTGGTAGGCAAAAAAGTCTACCAAGTCTAGCCTATGAGCAATAACAAAGTCTTCGAGGATCGCTAGGTCTGTCTCGGGGCTGCGCGTCAATGGTGGTGCGCGTGTCGGAGGCACATATATCGCCGGCTTGAGGAAAACACGACGAAAGACTTACCGCGCTCGGTTCCGATTCCTGGAAGTAACTGCGCCTCCTCCGCCTAAAATGCATCGGAAAGGTCGCACGTGGCGCACATCATGGTGACTGCTTTGGCGGCCATTGGAAACTCCAGGACTCGAGGGATGTACGACAGGTTACGGCGCGCGTATAACTCCACTCGCTTTCCTGATTCGTCCCCCATACCCCCGTTTGAAGAATGGCAGGGGGTTTCTTCTTTCTGCGACACTTTCTACTGCAGGTTTGTCAACCACCCGCGTGTCGAAAGTAGTCAATGAGATAAGACGTTGAGGGGTGCGTTTTCGATTTCCGTTGGGTTTTGCCGCATCAGCAAAAAGTATGACGAACTGCGACAAGCGTTTGCTCACTTTGTTCGACAGAGGCAGGAAGTTCATATCCAGGTTGTATGTGTTTCACCGATGGCAGTCCCTGCCGAAGAATTCAAGTCGGTACTTTTTCTCTCTCCCCAACCATGTCGTCTGTGGCTTCGTAGGACGATGGAGCTCCTCATTGTGGGGGACGAGATGGGAGGCATGTTCGCGGCCGGACAAAATGCTCGTGCCGACCACCAGAATGAAGGTGATGAGGGCGAGGAGAAGGAAAAAGTCGGTCATGACCAAGGAGCGTTTTGGGGCATTGTCGACAATGACATACCCGTAGGTCCATTCCTTCTGTCGGCCGGTGGCGGCGGGGCCGAGTTCGACCTGCTGCGTAGCACGCGCAATGCTCGTATGGGCTCTTTCCCGGCGGACTGCGCAGGCGCTAAGTGTGGCCCTTCAGCCGTGGTACCAAGACCGATTGCAGGCGCGCCGGGCTGGGCACAAGAGGTACGTTCAGCGTATCCGCTCAAGTCCACCCGCGAACCAGAGACCGGTCGCGGAGCCCATCTTGAAGTCGAAAGCGACACGGGAATGGCGTACGGTCGGAGCAACGATGCGGGCGCGGTCACCCAGACATCGGAATCAATGTTGGGCAACGGGGAAAACGTGGTGGAAGAGACGGAGGAAGACGCTATTGCCGCGGCAGACTGGCTGGATGTCTCACATGCCTTGCTCGTTGAAACAGAACTAAGAGCTAGCGGGCAGTCACGAGTACGATGATCAGACTTGTTTGTATGTGTCACACGACGTGCCTTTTTCATTGGAAGGATATTTTTCGAGACGTAGCTGATAGAGTTGTTGGTCTGATATTTGATGCCCCCTCCCCGCCCACTCGAAACAGTTATGCTGCGGTGGTACTCGGTTCGAAAACCCTAGGCTGTATGTCGCGTCGTACTTGGCCACCGGGTCGGTTCGTGAATCTTTAGTGGGGCTAGTCGAGCGCGATTGGATGCTATTCCGGGCGCGAGGACGGGGACGAAGATGTACCAATGACGGATAAAGGTGTATGGAGCTGGGAACATCCGGTCATGACGTCAAGAATACTTAGGTGGTTCGCAGTGTAGATAAGTCGAGATTTGTTGGCCGGTTTGGTTTCGGAGATTGTTAATTTGGAGGAAGTTTGCGTGTTCCGGACGATCGTGCTTTATCTGTAGAGCAGCTATGAGATGTCTTTAGCCAGAGCTTGTCAATGGCGAACACCTTTTTTAGACCTTTGTCCGTCGTTTGGACCCACTGACTTGTACAGAGAAAGTTGATTTTTCATTGAGGGTAGTAAGACTCGAGCCTTGCGAACTCGAGGCTCGCGAATCGAAACTCGAAATGCAGCGGATTGGAACTCGAAGTATGGGAACGATGTACGGGCTTCCGGGGGTAACGTAAGTATGTTATACGGGAATGATGAACTTCATGCACGACAAGTGTTATATCTAGGTCTGTCGTCCACGTCTTTCAATTGTCAAACAGGTTGACGAGTACGAGACATGGGTGATTGAGGTAGATGCAGCGATAGGGTATACAATGAACAGGTACAACAGTAGACTATTGTCACTCCCACAGAAGCACGATCGCTAATTTCGGTGTGTTTCACAAAAAACTTCCATTTGGTCAATCCTCTCGACCGCTTTTCGTCCATGGTGCCGATGTTTACTTACCACAGACGACACGACGTACCGCACCTCCTAGATTGACTTCCAACACTCGATTGCTCCACGACAGAACTAGCGTCGACGTTGAACAATGCGTCTTAGGGACCGTCTCGTCGAGAGGACTTCTCGAAAGCGGAACGTTTGATGTTGCCATTATATTATATATATATATATATATTATATCACGATTCGTCTAATGAGTCCTACATCTTGATTAATGAATGCATTCGCTGCATACGGGGTTAGAATTTTTTTTTTTTCGTATATTTTTTGACCTCTCTCGCCCAATACTCCATTTCACGACTTGAAACCACGCAAGTGCGTTCATCACGTGCAGTTTATGAGACCTACGAATGGAATGACGCCTTGCTCATTATGACACCGACATTGACACCTTCGCAAAAGTAGACCTCAGCCGCTGTGTGCTTCCCAACATCCACGTACACGTTCTGCATGCATCGACGCGCATGGACGTGACATTACACAACACAAACATCGCCACCCTTTATGCATTCATCAAACGTCGTCACAACATGACAAGTAGTTACGATTGGCCATGCTCACTGCAGATTTACAGCATTCAGATGCCCCATGCTCGCTGCCGCATACGGGCAAATATACCGATTTTCTGCAGACAACCTCGCTCGCCAATCAAATTTTCGCCGCATATTAT